TCTATATATATATATATATATATATATATATATATATATCTCATGAACATTATGCATGTATAAGTTTTATATGCTAGAAACACTAACTGTAATCAACAAATTCACAGTATTTTATTATGATGATAAACAGGATAGACTGCTTCATGAAATTTTGTTTTGGATATTACAATAATAAGGTATAGTTGTCTGGTGTTTCATAAACAGAAGCAAATTATGAATGTCCGGATTATAGGGGGCCCATGTTTTTTCCAAATGACCCATTTAAAATGGGAGCAATGGGCCCAATGACCCACCCCCCAAAAAAAAGATCCTAGCAAGATCTCTGCCAGTGGTTACTTCCTACTTGTGAAGGAGACCCTTATATCTCAAAAGTTTCAAAAACAAGACATTTATCACAGAAGTGTCAAACAATAAGGGACAAAGAAATTACTCTGTTCAACTATACAAGATATTTTATTTCTAATTTTTGACAAGTCCTTTTCTTGCTGATGAGGACCTGTAGCCTTGTGATCCAACTTATCAAAAACGATTTTCACCTTTTCAAAATTTTTTACTAGTATGACATCAATTTTGAAAAATTCTCAGCATCCACTTTTTTATGGCTGTAGATTAAACTATTTGTTTTTGATACAAAAGTATTATACAACATTAATAAATAATAATCAATGTAAGATGAAGAATGCAATTCACAAGCATGTCAGATTTCAGAAGCAAATTATAGATTATGGTAATGTTAATTCTATAAACTCACCTAGTAAATGATAATTGGATTCTCTTTCATATTTGAATAGAAGTCTCCCATAACTAACATGATTTAAATTCTTCAACCACTCAAAATATGACACAGTGACACCACCGGCATTAATATACAGGTCAGGGATAACCAGTATGTTGCGTTCAATAAGTAATTTATCAGCTGCAGGAGTTATAGGACCATTAGCAGCTTCTGCAATAATCTAAATGAAAAATAAATATCAAAGCCATAAGAAATACTACAGCTAACTCTTTATTTTATAGCATGAACTATAATTCATAATAGTAAAATTTTAATAACCCATTATAAGAATGGTTCCAATGCTAACATTCTTTCATTAAGCAAATACTGGTTTAAAACATGAAAGAAATTCTCTAAAATGAAACAGAATTCTGATACAAAACAACATAAAAGTAATATTTTTTATTAAAAAAAATTGAAAATTTGCAAGATTTGACCAAATGAAAAACATGTCCAGCATGTTTTGGGACACACAGATAGAATTCATATAACTATATCCCATTTAGCATTTTAAAATGGCAAGGGCATCTCAAAAGATCATTTTAGTATCTTAAACAGGCCACTCATGTTTTAGCACTAAGGCTATGTTCTTAAAATACATACCACAATTACCTGAGAAAAAGGTGATTGTAGAAAACTATAATGTAACAATAGGCAGAAAATGTTTCTGAAGGTTTTATATCTACTTAGAGTTTAGTGCAACATATCAACAAATTATAATCAGCATTAAACAGTCCATGCAATTATGTAAATATTTTTAAATACTTTATCTGAAGAAAATGGGGCCTGGTATGGCCTGGTGGTTAAGGTGCTCTACTTGCAATCTGAGGGTTAAGGGTACAAATTCCCATCACCAAACATGCTCACCATTTTGGCTTTTGGGGCATTATAATGTGACAGTCAATGCCACTATTTATTGGTAAAAGAGTAGCCCACAATTTGGCAGTGAGTGGTGTTGACTAGCTGGCTTCCCACTAGTCTTATCACTGCTAAATTAGGGATGGCTAGTGCAGATAGCTCTTGTGTAGCTTTGCACAAAATTCAAAACAGACGAAACTGAAGAAAATGGTGTTTAACATAACCTTGAACTTTTTTTTTTTTGTTATTAACTGTAGGTCTTCATATAACTTATATTTTATCCTCTAAGAATATACCATTCTAAATAATTATATACCAATCTTTCAAAAGATTGTTACAATTATTATTTTAACTACGATTTCATAAATTCAGAGAAAATTTCTTTAAATTTTATAATTTCAAATGAAGATGAAAGACAATAACAAAGCAATATAAATTTATATTCATACTCACCTTACATTTAAGCATGTGAGCATTACTTTTTGTGATGGATTTTTCTATTGCAGCAGGTATTAGAATGTCACATGGTTCAAAGAGCATGTTCTCTCCAGTGTAAGCTTCAGCCCCAGGGAAACCTACTATTGTGCCATTTGCCTAAAGCAGAAATTAACATATTTATTCATTAATATGATTAGCAACATATCAATTCAAGTTTTCACAAAAAAAAAAAAAGGAGGAAAAATCCAAATTTACCTACCAATTTCCAGTCTTCTAGTTCTCGAGGGTTAATACCATTGTCATTAAAAATACAGCCATCAACTTCCATTACCCCTACACAGCGAGCCCCAGCACGATGAAGATAACGCATGGTATGCAGACCCACATTGCCAAATCCCTAAAAATGATCACAACAAACTTCATTCAAAGTGACAACAAAATAGTTCATTTCTTAAATACAAACTTTTCAGTAGATTCTTAACTTGATAATTTACAGCATCTTTTCGGAAATATTAAATGAAAAAAGTAACAAATTATTAACTAATTTGATGTTCATTAGAATGTTTTATTGCAACTCTGAAGTGGTCTGCCAAAATTACTTTTAGTGCTCTAAAGGATTTAAATATATTCTTTATATAACTCTTAAGTTTAAAATAACCATACCCAAAACTTCTAGTTCCAAGTAAAGAAAGTAAGGCATGACACAGAACAAAAATTAAAATTCAGAAGTTCAACTTAGCAATGAAATATTTTTCAATAATTAGTTCTTGAACAGAAGTACATGGAGCAGAGATATGGGATTTTCAAATTAGAATAACATGCATACCATACACTACTCACTGAAACAACAGCTCTAAAATTATGTAAAAAGTATGAAAAATCTTGCCATCTTATTATTAGATGTTATTAATAATTATATCTCAATGCATTCTTTTTCACTTTAGATTTAAAATCAAATCAAAATTAAAACAGCATATTTGTTTATTAGTAATATTTTATACTCTGTATGAAATACCAAAGGCTGTGCACATTACATTAAAACAATTTTGAATATGCAAATCAGCAAATTACATGACATCACAGCAAACGTAGAGGCTTGGTGGAATGGCACGCATCAGAAACCCCATTTTGACATTGTTTGCCATTTCATAAGTAGCATGATGCCACCAAAAATCTATTACTTTTGGGAAGGGTATGGAAAAGCCCTTTCCAATACAAAATATTAATGTAGTACAAGCAAAAAGCACTGACCCATCAGATGTGACCAGATGTATGATTTTGGTTTTGCCCACATATCTGGATGTAACTGTGCCCAAACAATTTTGCATTTGGCACACTTTATGACTGTTTCAGTTTTATTAGTTGTGGATGCAACTCGTAAATTTGGCATCCTTCCTAAGTCATGGGCTACTTGGTTTTGTTGACTAATCAAAACCATAGCTGCTGATGTGGACCTCCCATCAATACCCCTTTGAAAATGCATAGCATGGCTTAAGAGATTAACAAAACAATTATCAATGTTTAAATGGCCATCAGCAAGAAGTGAGCATGTTACAAGTACGAACTGTTAAATTAGCTATTTATTGAAGGAGGAATATTAAATTAAAAATCAGAATTTACTACAATCTTCAAAAGCTGCAGTGGTCTTTTGTATCATAGTGTAAGATTATTATTATCTAAACAATTAAGTTAATTAGCATGTGCACAAGATTGCTCAATATAAAATATAATAAAGCTGGTTGGTGTTCTTCTTTCTCTATTATACTGTTAAATTTTCCAATTCATTAAATTATTTTATTACTCTCTTAGTTGTCCATTCTTTGACCCTACTTCTATTTTTAATATTTTCATTGATTCAGATTGTTAAATACCTCAATAAGAATCTTAATTTCTAAAAGAAAATTATAACCTAACATAATATATAAATATTAGGAGTTGAGTATGTATTTATAAATCCTGGAGAGGCTTTTAAAATACAAACGAAGAAAGAAAACTAAACAAATATAAAATTACTCTAAAATGGAAGAAAAAAAAAGAGGATAAAAAGAAACAAGGTTTGTCTGTTTTGGCCCTCTGTAACTTGCATTGATCACTGTATCACTATGTAATATTGATATTGGATACTAAAACTAAAGTGCACTGATGTTGCCCACTATGCATAAGATTATGTGTTCCTATAAATATACTGAAATATAATTTAGACAGTAATATTTATGCCATGTGTGATTTAATCTAAATTTATAATATTTTCTCTTACCAACTTTTGAAAACCATAAACTAAGCTTTAAATAGATGCATTCATCTTAACACTAGAATTAAATTCTCCTTTTCATTACTGTTTTTTTTTTATGTGAATGCTTAAAACAAAAGTGTAATGTGCCTGTCTTTTTGTGATGTCATTCTACAAAAATTTTCTTGGTTACAGAACATACTAAGTGAGAAAGACAGAACATATGTATATAGGTAAAGTGACCAGTTTTATATGCGTGTTTTCTTTAATTTGCCATAGAAGTTAAATATTTTGGAACAGCATTGCTTAACATTACTGCCAAATGCATCTTTTTTGGTCATCATTGCATTCAAAAATATGTATTTTTATCCCAAATCATAGCACAAAATGATTAGTCTTTGTAAGTACTTACTTGCACAATGAAAGTTTTTCCACCCCATCCTGGTGTGGTACCAATCATACTCATATAACTGGCTTCATTTATAAAGTTGTCAATTCCATGAAATACCCCCTGTAGAAAAAAAAATTCAGAACTAATATATAAACTGCAAGTACAACATCTCTGTCATAATCAGAAGCTAGATGTTAAATTTTATAGACAGATAGATGTGTAATCTCTTATCAAATCATTGTAAATTACAGAACTGTATAAACAATTCTTCTTCATACACATCAAATTTACTATGTACACCACCTGTAACTTACTAACTTTTGTGCATGCAAATATCATGCATCACATGTAATTTACTGGACTGCTTACACAGTATTTTAATGCTACATATAAATATTCATCTCATGTAATTTATTGGGTTGTATAACGACATAAAACATTAAAAGTTTTAGAATTAAATGTGTACAGACATTTGTTTTTACGCTTCTAAGTGATACACCTAATATATAATAAAGGAGTCTTCCTTCTTCTTAACAATATTGTATCTTTTACATAAATTTAATCAGTTTGTATTTATAATCAAGACACTTTTTGGTGCTTTTGATGTTTCTGGAGAGATAAATATTCATCTCAAATAATTCAAGTTTGCAAAGTCAATATCCATTTGAACCATGCCTGCAATTATCACAAAAAATTAACAGACAAATACATCTTTTTCATCAGTAAAAATGCTTTCAAAAACACTGCCCTAAACGTGGGTATGTGAATATGTCTATTCTATATGTTGTTGTGCAAAATGCACAACATATATTCCTCAAAAGTTAATATTTTCCTATATTGAAAATATATTTCTGATAGATACTTACCTCATTTAACATAATAGCTTTTCTTGTTCAGTGCTGCCCTCTATATGCAAAATTTTTTTTGCTCACCACTAACCTTGAAACTCCCACCTACTCCACATTTGTACATGATTCAACTGCATTTTAGCATGCAAATAAGCATGTGACAACCCTCCACCTATAGGAGTGCAACACATTCCTATCGCAGCTGGTTCCCTCTATATTGTAGAACCCAATCTTCACTTTGAGATTAGGTAGAAGAAGCACCAGAAGTGGGGATGAAGTGGGAAGTGTGAGAGGAGGTAAGTATCTATTGGAAATATATTTTCAGTGTTGAAAAATATTAACTTCCAATACAATATATTACTTACACTCACATAAGAGTTAGATTCCACATTGATGTGGTGGAGGGACCAGTGCAAAATTTGCCTAGATGAGCACCCTTTGGAAAGTATCTGAAGAATTCCCATTGAGTGTGATTTCTCTTGTTAGAGGAACACACTCATAGGAGACTGAGCAACATCTGGACTAGGTATACTCTTTGCCCTCGATGAATAAATGTGTCAATAAATGGGCAGCAATGAGGCACATTTTACAATTAGCCATACATGCTCCAAGTATAGAGTGAATAGGGCATGTCAGACCATAAACAGGAAGTCAACTCCAGTCCAAAACCTGCATAAGCGGGAACAAGCCACCTGGTCCATGGTAGGAGGAAGTTACTAAACCATCTGTAATCAGATGTGTCCATGGTTTAGAGTGGCTAGGGTGTGCCAAATCGTAATCAGGAGGTCAGCTCCAGTCCAAAACCAGCAGTACCAGGAATGGATCATCCGGGCCACAGTAGGAAAAGGGTCCTCTACCATCTTCACCTCAGACTCAGGAACCAGAAGGCAAGTAGCACTTCCATTCCAAGAACCTTAGCTATCATTTATGCATACCTAACACAAACATGACTTGTCCCCCTAGGAACTGACACCTGGATGGTGGTAGGAAGGTGGAATGCAAGGTGGGTCAATCCCAGTCCAAAACCATGCAGCATTGTGAATGTATCATCCAGTCTGCAGGAGAAAGACAGTCCCAGCCCATTCATATGTGAGGAATTATGTTGGTTGGTCCAGCTCCATCCAACACCAGTCGCCCAGGAACCAGAGGGGTGAAATGCATGAGATAGAAAAATCCAGTCCAAAACCATACATCATCTGGAATTGTACATCAGGTCCACAGTAGCAGGATAATCATGCCATCTACATCAGCAGAACACCATTACCCTACTCTCAATTGAGTGGGATTGAGCACACTCAGGAGGAAGCCTCCATACTTCACCACCCCAGCAGCTAGTAAGTGGTAAGAACTCCCATACTCCAGTGGAAGAACCATATTTTGAAAAGCAGACCATTCCTGAATTAGGCAATTGAAGGAGCAGCAGAGATGGGCAGCAATCCCTTTCTGCTTTACTCATGCTAGTCCATAAGTGTACGGTCTGGGACAGACATATTTAGGGTGCAAAAACACTGTGAAGAAGAACCTACTAGTGGTCTTGCAGAAAACCCCATCTCAACAGTGGGCCTTATTGAACTTATTGGCCGTACAGTGCGGATTTAAGAATAAGTATACCTAGACAGGCATCACTCGCCACAGAGTGGGATCCACTATAGAGAGGAGTGTGACCCTGTAAGAAAAAATAAATAAATTAATAAACATACTAACTCACAGTTGAACTGACGTGTTTAGTATAGCTATGGGCATAATGCAATATCTGGATGAGGACGAAATGCCTACCCAATGGGGTTAATGAGAGATGAACATGTGTGTGGTCCACCTGCCAACCTGGATGATTTCTCCCAAATGACAACATATATGGGCAGCCAGGGAAAGGTAACATGTCTAAGCTGATGTGATGACACCAGTAAAAACAAACTGTAGGGAGTTGGAAGATAAGGATGAATATGCCAGGGTTCCAATGGACATATACATGACACTAATTTGGGGAGTCTAAGTATGGAAAAACATGTCATGAAGATATGAAAAAACAATTATTCTGAGCGCAAGAGGGTCAAGGCACGATGTGTCCCCCCCAATATTAGGAGAAAAAAGGGAAACTAGGTATTCGGAGGAAGGGGGCCTAAATGAGAAGGGATACCAATAAAAAGTAACATATCTGTGTGAAGCAATTGGATATTTTTGAGGGAATTTTACAACTGCTTCAGTATTTTTAATGTTCAAGAGTTAAGGAAGAGGTTACAGAGATTTAAGTATTTTTAGTGTGATACACATACATGTAGAAATGGCGTAAGTAAGGACGCCTGTATTACGAAATTAGGTCAAGAACTAGGCAAAGCCCAGTTAGCTGGTTAGTTAGTATAGAGAATCAAGAGTTGAGAGTTATAAAACATGAAGCTACAGTAAGGACGCTAAGCAAAATGCTAGTCACGAGTTTGACAGTGATAAGTTACTGATGCCGAGTTAGGGGCATTGTAGAAGCTACTAAAAAGTTTATGATAGCATCTCAAATTGGTGCTTTGATGTGAGATCTGTTACTCCAGACCAGTGTTGTAGTACAAGTAAAAAGGCAACTGAAGCACTCACCATCACAGTGACCAATTACTTGAGTTTTGGTTCTTGTTCTGGATTAGCCTGGAAAGTTGCACAGATTGACCAATAAAGTGTTAGAGCTACTTGCGAATAGTTAGGAATACTATTTGGAAGGTCAAAAAATATAGAGAAAATATAGTATAAAACTCATGTCTAGAGCTAAAAATCAGTTATCTCCAAGAAGAATCGAAGTTCCAAGCCACTATGAATATGAAGGTTTCCAATCTCCAGAAGTATACCAGTCCAACTCTGTTGCAAGTAAAGAATTGTTCAATTAATGTAGTTTACTAAAGGAAGTTAATGCTTATACTAGAGAGAGAAATTCTATATGTATTGATTATTAGCTTTAACTGAAAGGTGAAAACTAAAGTTGCGAGAAACTAAGATTTTAGTAAATGTTTAACTATTGATGTTAACAGTATATACTATGTGGAAAGACCTAATAAACATTGCTATTTTGATCAATGTTAGTCTCAGAATCTGTTTCTTTATTCTAACTGTAAATTACCTCAAGTTAGCAATTTGTGAGCTCCACTCACCACTGCAATCGGCAGTATAATCGAAACTCCAACTATTAGCCCTAAGGGCACTGTCCGTTACATATGTCCCCATATCAAAGAAGGCTAATGCCTGCCTGGTGGCATCCACACATGAAAAATCAGGATTGCACGGCCAAGGAGGTGGAAAAGAAAAACTACCCAAATCATCATAATCTTACCCAGATTCACCAGACAAAAAAATGTCAGGTCTGGGCTTGGAAGAAACAGCTGACTGCATGATGTACCCCTACTTCTGTCGAAAACCACAACCTCCACAGCCAAAAGTGTAAAGCCTGTAACCTCAGACAAAGTAGGTTAAAATTTGGTAATATTCGTCACTACTGAAGTAGTGGCAGTAAAAGAAAATTCAGAATTCATGTTCAACTGGAGTGAAGTTCGAAACAAATAAACTACAGCATGGTTATCACTGTATAAAACAAAGCAAAAAACAAGTAAATTATTTAATAACCTGCATGAAAAGAGCAACAACTAATAAATGGAAATTAAAGTAACAGCATGAGTAAAAATTAACACATCCTAACACTACTGTGCCAAATCGAGAAGTGAAAATTGGTTCTATGATATAGAGGGAGCCAGCTGCAATAGAAGAGTGTGTTGCACTCCTATTGGTGGAGAGTTTTCACATGCTTATTTCCATGCTAAAATGCAGTTGAATCATGTAGAAATGTGGAGTAGGTGGGAGTTTCACGGCTAGTGGCGAGTAAAAAATATGCACATATAGAGGGTAGCACTGAATGATAAAAGCTATTATGTGAGATGAGGTAAGATATCATATCAGAATAACTGTTTTTTGATAAAACTATCTGTTATATTATTCACAAACTTACCTTTCTCTGAAACATTTAAATATGTGCAAAAGAATTATTTGACAGATAATACAATGCATTGTTTTAACATAAGTGATACATTATAACAGCAACAAAAAACACGTTTTTTTTTTCCTGTCATGTAGCCCCTTAATATTATTTTATTACTAGTATGTTAAGTATAGTTCTCTCTTAAAAATAAGTACCAATGAAGGGAAATAACACTTAATGTCAGTTGCAACTTTACTGAAATCTAAACATTTGAATTCAGTAGAAAACTGTAAAAGACTACATGAACAGAAAAATAACTTCTTATTCAGTTGCAAATAATTTGATTCAAAACAATCATAAGCTCATCACAAATACAAAGAAGTTCTAAACATACACGTGTGAAAACATCTAGTAACAGCATGATTTTCTAGCTCAGTGACTTCTGTTACATGTTAGTTTGTTTGTTTGTTTGTTTATATAGCCTGAGAACAATTTTTTGGTCCTTTGAAACAGGAATAAATACTTATTTATTATTTTAAGTTGCTCATAAAGTATAATTGTTACATTTCCCAATTAGTTATAAATGATTCAGTTCTTTTTTATGGGCCTTTACATTCTCTGAATGAATTATTTCCAAGTCCTTAATGAAAACTCTGATATACTTGTTAGAACTATTCATAATATATCTTATAGCTAGTTTTTATTTCTGATGAAGAAACTACCATTCATTCATAAAATATGCCTTAAATGATTTTTGTTTTCATACAAAACTAAAATCACTATTGTAGTTTTCTCCTGTTGATGTTGTGGTTGCTTGAACCGAAACAATAAAATTAACATGCTGCTTCATTAGTTTTTCTGAATGCTGAGTGAAGTTAATTCAATTTAAAAAAATTATAATTGATGTTAAAATAAATATTATTAATCCTTACCCTAATTCTGATTTGTAAATGACTTATACAAAATTGATAAATATTACACTTTACCAACTTAATCTCGTTCACATCATGACAATTGGCGCTCATGCAATTTGATAAGATAAATTGTCTCTCAAGTACTACTGTGTTTGTTGTATCTCAGTTGTCCTGGTAAACCTTGGTGTAGGATGAAAGCTAGGCCTCGTCAGCACTAGATATAGCAGATATAGTGTGGTTGACATACTGTTATTACATTATTTTTTACTTTCAATCATAAGTTCTTATTTTATATTTTATAATAATTTTCTGAAATTCTCTAATGAAATTCTTAATTTCTGCCTAAGAAATATGATTTCCCATTTGCAAATAATATTTATGTTATAGAAATTATTTTCTGATTTTACAGTGTGTAATAGATTAACCAGGTTTCATAAATATCCAAATATCACACTTCATTGAAAATGATTAAAAATTTACAAACCCTTCCAGTAGCTGATATTCTTCCATGAATACCCCCTTGATTGATTGGTTTTCCTGTCACACAGGCATAAGCATTTAAGTCAGCATGACCTAAAGTCAAAACATAAAAAAAACACCATTTTATCTAAAGTAACCAAAACAAAAAAATTAAAACAAATTTAAAATTTAATTGTTTGTTGATTTTTCTTTCAATGAATATGTGTTTAATGAAATACTGTTACTTCAATTTAATAAGTCTGCAAATCTAATAGGAAAAAAAAATGTTCAGTCAACCAAAATCAAATCTTATATAAATGTTAGGATCAATGATGCCAATTCAAATATAAGAGATCAGAAAAGATTGTACAACTGCTACAGAAATAGTTTCGTGAAACCTATTCAGTGTACAAGTACTATCCTATAAATGTTTAGAAATAATACAAAATTGGCAATTATTTCTCAATATAGATTACTTTAGTATTTACCTAAAAAGGGTTTGAAATGACAATACTAGAAAATTTATACTATGTGTATTATTATTTTAAATATATTTGTGTTTTTTTATTGTTATCAGATACAAAATTTTGGATTATTGTTTCTTAAATGATTTAGCATTTTTCTATAACCCCTCTATTGTACAAAGGATGATGGTTTCTAGGCACCAATTTAACAGTTCAATCACAAAGAAATCCACAAGTGCTGTATCCAGCAACTTGACTTGTATGTCTTTATATGGAATAGCATAAATACCCATTACTTTTTCGAGATGCCTGAAGTACACAACTGTTGAATGGATATGTTATGGAAGCAGCTTCTCACCTGTTATGTGATGCCACACTTTGCTTACCACAGTTAGGATACAACTTGTTGCAGGTCTCTTTATGGATGATCCTGGTGCCTCAAGTACAGCAGGGCAATTAGTGGAATTCATTAATCAATTAATCATTGGGCTCATTAATTGATTATTCTCAAATGAGACTATCTTTCTATTTTCAGTTTGTTTTCAGTTTTTTGAAAGAAATTTTCAAACTAACCTCTGTTTAAGATAACAGATAATTTTATGTACAATAATTAAGGATTAAGTAACTTTTTAATCCTAAAATATTATACATAAAAATCTGTCATATATGCAACATAAAACAAAACATATAATAAGCTGATAGCATGGTTAATACCATTCCATGAGTTTTGCCTTCCAAATTTCCCCAATACTTCCCAACTAAAACTATTAAATTTTTGTTGATGAAAAAGATAATTAAATTATGATAGTGATTATAAATCAGAGAAAAACTAAATATAACACTGACTAGTGAGATTACAAGCAGATATAGGTTAACTTAAGTTATATACACTTAGGAGATTTAATAATCTACACTCTTTAACTACAAAAACTGTTTTTCATTTATTAATATAAAAAAAAAAATTATAAATACTTGGCCATAAGCCTTCTTTAGGTGCTAGTTCTACAGAAGCTACAAATGAAATGGTAAAATAAAAGTCAAGTATCTAAATGGAATTTATGAGGAAAGAACAGTGTTTACTGACAACAGAATGTAGATAAACTAAGCAACTCCTCTAATCAACAGGCCATCCTGGCCAAAAGCTGAATAAACTTGAACTAATCAAAAATAATAATGAGAAATCATAGTGGTAATATTTTGAGTACATGTACTTGTTTAGTTAGAATAATCAAAAGAAGTACTTATCAGGAATGCTAATTTTGATTAGTTAACTATTTTCATGATATTAATCAACTTACTCGTAATTTCAATTAATCAATTATTTTACATGATACTATTCCTTTGTTTTCCAATGCAATTACACAAAAAGGATATCCCCATTTTAAAAATTCTATATCCCCGATCTAAACACATCTTTATGATTTAAGTGTATGAATATTTTATATCTTAAACTACCGGACAATGTCAAAATGTAGATTTGATATATTCTGTTCCATTGCAACTTTATAACAACTATGGTTGTCACATGACTTGCTGATTTGCAAATTAAAAATAAGTACAATACAACTTTCTAAATGCTCTGTATATAAGATAACACCCAGTTATCCAAGTTGTATATCCAAATATACTTAACTTTCACAAACAAATTGGCAAAAATAGGAAATGCCTAACTGAAATGCAAACAAACAAACTGTAGATTAAATAAACAATGTATTCACAAACAATAAATTGATGAAAAAAAATTGGGATGTTACAGATCAGAAAGAGGCATTCTGTAACACTTATATTTCCTTTCAAGACATCTCAAGTTTCATTTAAATATGCAGTGTTGCTATTTAAAATTATCCCAAATATTTTGACAAAGATTGTGTACATTAATTAGAAAGTACACATTACCAATTGTTGATCCAAATGTGTCTGCAATCCAGCTCATTTCCCGTTCTCCAGTTCCCATATCAGGTGCTGGAACATCAATGCCAGGTCCTATAGTACAAACAGTTTTTTTAATCCCTTTTTTGTAATCATCACAGCAGCATCATTTCACAAAAGGCTTGGGGTTAAGGGCAAAGAAGAGAACCCCCAATTCAGCTGCCATTTGAGCCCCTTCGCCAAGCTTGACATTTCTGATTATTTCAAGTTTTCTAATTAACCCTAGTGTAGTTAGTAAATCTACAGTACAAAATTCTCAGACCTAAATTTTGTGGAAGGTGTACTGTACCTCATGAGTGTAAGAGGCTAAGAGAAAGAAATTTTGCATCCTGGTAAACTTCAACTAGAAAGAATGTATTCTGAAAACAAACTTTTCAATATCTTTCACAAAAAAGTGGTATTTGACTATTGGGATTTTTCTAAAGTTCTATTGCACAATAATATTTTTCTTAATTTCCTATTTCTGCAGTTTTCAAAGTACAATTAAATATTTTGTCACTTGGGTTCTAACTTGAAAGAGCCTATGAACTTGAAATTTTGTATGAGCAAAGACGTATGCTCCATATGATATCCCAAATAAACTGAGACATGTTCTTCAAAAGAGTCAAAATATTTTCTGTGCATTTTATAACCAAAAGATTTCTTATTATAAAATTATGACCAAAGGTATTCCTTTCTAAAGTTATATTATATAACTGGTAATATGTCAAATTCTTACAAATAATTTTGTAGAATTGGTAAATAAAGTACAGTAAATTTCGAAAGGTTAAAAATTATTTATCAAAGTGAAATGCAAGCATATCATATGTCTTCCATCTGCTTTAGTGATATAGAAAGTTTTTAATTTTTCTGTTATTTATTTTCTATGCTGTAATGGCAGCAACACATGGTCAAGATAGTTAATGAGATTACCTTGTTCTAGTTGCTTTGTTTATTTATTCTGTATAGTAGGTAATGTCTATTCTGCCCATGAGGATATTGCAGTAACATATATCGTATGGGTTGAGAGAATTTGCACTGTAATATCTTTGCTAACTAAGTTTGACATTGTCTGAGTGATACAGCTGACCAATGTCGTGAGAGAGTAAAGGTCACAAGGTGATGCTGTAAACAATATAAATAAACTAAGTTTACTTGTTGAATTCAGGTGTACTTTCTTATTTCAGTTCTACTTGGTTTTTATCATGACTAATTCAGCAGAGATTCATCTTGAAAAACAGAAAGCTAATGAGCTATTCATTAATTCAGTAGATCTCATTACCAATTTGTTTATGTAGGAATGTACACATTTGTTTTTGTTGTTTCTAAATAAAGATTGTTTTCACTGTCCTTCAAATGTGTCCAACCTTTTTTTATTTCTCACACATCTGAAACTCAGTCAAGTTATCCACTACAGAACACTTCCCTTATTTGTTGATTGAATCTGCTACTATTTGCAGGTTTGCCTTTCAGATATTTATCAGGAAATTGGTTTTACAAGAAAATATCACACAAATACAACCTGAGAAAATCCAGATTAGATTTTCCATCAGTCGTTTTGCATTAGAAGTTATATACATGTACAGTACTACTGTGATTTTAATTGTGTGAAAATTCAAGGATGAACCTAGCACACAGTCACTCAATCTGTGCAAAACCAAGAGATTTATGAACCTAATATGCACAATATCAGATGTAAATTTTTGTTACAGTTAAGTGAAATGAAAGAGACAAGATATGGTATTCAATATTTAACAAAATAAAACACTTCATTTCGCCATAAAACTTTTGAAGATACAAAGCTAATCGATTAGCGGTCAGACTATTATAATGTACAATAGAAGTTGAATTTAACTAAAGTGAAATAAACTGTATTTAATTGATCACTTAAGGTACCGACTAAGCTGAAGATGAAATGAATAAAATGTACATGATCATCATGTTGAAGAATATGGTAAAACCACAATGGGACTTCTTGGCCATTTTAGACTATGACACTAGACTTGAGGATAGATTAGACAGCTCTAAAACAGTGCAATGGGTATGCTAATAAGGTTAAGACAAGACAAAAATAAAGCTTTAAGGTGATACATGTCCTGGTTGAAGTTATGAAACATAAACAAGAAAATCTGGATTATGGTGAGAAAGCAAAGCTTATGTACATTTTCCTGATGCGTGCATAATAAATTACATGGAAGACAGGAGAGTCAAAAACTGTGTATAAGTTGATGCATGCTCTTCATTGTGTCAACGACATTCAGAACCTAAAGTTCCTGATTGTTGACAGAAGGAGAGCAAGTTAAGGCTTTTAGTATTTCAGTAGTAAGTCTACCTGATTTGCATGGCTGATAATAAAACAACATATAATCATGTCAAAATTGTTCAATATTTGTTATCATAATCTTACAAATACACATAAAGTTCTCAAAATTATAAAAGGTTAAAAAATTTTACCTTTTTTTTTCATACTTACCAAGAAATCCTTTTTTTGCAAGCATTAATGCAAAGTTTCTTGTAATCTTTTCTAATTCAAATTCACTATATTCTTTGGGATTTATTTTAAGGCCTGCTTTACCACCTCCAAAAGGAACATCCACTACAGCACACTTGAAAGTCATCAAGGCAGATAAGGCTTTCACTTCATCCACACTAACATCTGAGCTGTAACGAATACCTAAAGGTGAAAAAAATATTTAATTACGCATCCATCTAGTTTTGGAACTGCAGTCTTAATTTTTTAAAGAAAATTAGCTGATTTAAGTGCACTATGAAACAGGGAGATCACTGAATTTGGTAACAGACTGGGAATTAACAAACTGATAGGATAGTTACAATAATGAGGAGACTAGAAAAAAGACTAAGAGCATAACAGCTTAAATAGTTTTAAAGTCTGTCAGATTTGAACATAAGTTTATTTTCTATTATTTCAGTGTTAGGAATATCAGGACAAAAATAGATGAGTTCAGGGCTTAAGTTGAAATGGAAAACTACATTATAAAACGGAATACTGAAACTATATCACCCAAGCCTATTAATTCCTGGCTGCTCTAATGAAGTTCCTCCACCTCTCTGTCCTGTGCAACCTCTGAACATTCTTCATCTTCTATTTCAACATCACAACACCCTCTGCAAAATTATCTCACCATCTTTTTCTCAGTCTCCCTAATGGTCTTCCAAACATAGCAATCTTGGACAATCTATTGTCTTCCATTCTGACAACAAGGCCAGCACATCTCATTCTTCTTGCTTTTACAATGTTTGTAATAGGGGTTAATCCACTGATACCCATCAACTCTTCATCATGTTGTCTTCTCCAACTATTCTCACCCATATCATCCACTGGCCCTAAAATTCTTTGTAAAACTATATTCTCAAAGACCTGAACTTTCTTTTCTAAATATTTTATAAATGACCATGCTTCAGATCCATATAGAACAACTGGTTTTATAATGGTGTTGTACATTCTAGCATTGGTTTTTCTGCTGACACTTCTTTCACTAAGCATTTCTTTTAAACTCCAGAATATTCTATATCCACTTGTAATTCTATTTATTATCTCTATTTTCATATTATTATCTCTTGTCACTGTGGTTCCCAGATACTTAAAATTCAGATATTCAATATTCATGTTTATTATTCTCCTTTAATCTCCAAGCTCACCACCTTTACATACTTTTATAATATTTGTTCTTTCCTCACTTATGGTTAATCCCATCTTCTCAATAATAGGAATTATTTAAAATTCTAGGTTATAAGTTATTTATTATTGACAAACTTCTTAGAAAAGGGGATGGAATGGATCTTAATATAAAAAGTGAACTAACTGCATACTGTTGGAAATGAAGATGTATAAGACTATAATGAAGTTGAATCTATATAGGTTACAATAAGGGGTTTCAAGGCTAGAAAGTTCTTAAATAGCAACTGTTATTGGCCACTTGATCAAACAGGTGATGTCAATGAGAAATTATATAATGAAATCATGGGCCCTTAAAGGATGCTGATACCAAGGTTTTTGTTGATGACTGTGAGATAGCTGATATAAACATTTTTTTCTCCTCCATTTTTACAAGAGAATGTGTTAGCAATATTCCTGACATTAAGTGTTCTAAGGAATACATTGGGATTGGCCTCAATTATGTAGATATTTATCCCTTGGTGGTAAAAAGAAATACTAAGAGAATAAAAATTGATAGAGCACCATGACCATACAATGTTTTAAAGCAAGTCAAAGATCAGATATGCGAGCCCCTTTCTTTCATTTTTGATAGGTTAACAGACCACTGAGGTTGGCCCCTGAGGATGGAAGAATTGCTAATATCACATCTTTTTCTAAAAGGAATAACATAGTTGCCCTGAAAATTTATAGATCAGTTAGTCTTATCTCTGTAGTAGGAAACAAAATCTAAAGAATCTCATAAAAGAACTTAACCAGCTAGTGAAATATGATATAATAAAATAAACATGAATTCACTAAAGAAAATATTCTCTTCAGTAGCATAAGTATGTCCCTGCAGACCCCACAATTGTGAAGGGGTCTAAGCCAAAAGTGGGCCTGAAGGGCCTGACAAACTTAAGAATTGCTGATAAGGGGAATAAATGTAGGGCCCAATTACTTTTTTTTTATGTGAGGAGGCAATCTTTTTTAGTTATGCCACTGCTTTTCTTACTAATATGTTACATTTTCAAGGATGTTTCTTGTTATCTAGGTGATAGAAATGGTGCGAGTTGGATGTGCTTGGATTATCATAAAGCTTTTGACAAAGTGACACACACAAAAGATTAGCTAAGAAAACAACACTGATGGGGGCTGGGGAAAGACAAGTAAACTTGATAGTAGAATGGTTGGATAAGAAAAAGCAAAACATTATTAATGGAGTTACACCAAACTAGACCTTTGTTACTAGTGAAGATCCCCTGAGGTTATTGCTTGGGTCTTTGCTTTTGCTTATTTACATTAATAACATTGATAGAGTCATAATTATTAAAGTCTGTGGATGAAATCAAACTTTTAGATATTTCTAGCTGTTTTAACAATGTTTAGGTATTACAGAATGACTTGGATCAATTGGTCAGTTGGACAGATATTTGGCAAATGCCCTTTAATTATTGTAAATACAGATAATACATTTAGGTTTTGATAATTTGAATCACATATTCAATATAAATGGAAACCCATTCAAGAGCATGATTAAAGAAAAGGATCATAGAATTGTGGTGATAAGTCAATTAAGTCATTGAGGCAGTATTTCGTTGCTTAGTAGCAATGTTAATAGAGTTTTAGTGTATTTATAGGCATTGATTACATTTACAAATCAAAAGGTATTTGGGCCACACTTGCAATACTGTTACAGTCTGAGTATGACTTCTAAAATGATTAAAGATATAAAAGAGTTATCTTACAGGGATAGGTTAATATATCTTAAATTATTTTCTCCTGAGAAGAGAATGGTAAAAGGTAATGTAATTGAAGTTTATAAGAATATCTGAGACAACGATGGGATACAATTCTCTGATTTCTCTGTGCTATATTCTGAAGACAATAGGACAGGATGACACATCCCTAAAATTTGGAAAACACATGCTGATTGACATATGGGATGAATTGCCATCAACAGTAATACAGGCAAGTACTTCCCAATAATTTAAAATGAGAATCAATCATTCCATGAAAAATAAAAGATGGTTTCCAAGTTTTTACTTTCTCTCCAGGGTGAGTGTGCAAAGACAGCCTTAAAGGTCCAAATGGTCTGTACATTACATTAAATTATTACATCTCCAATAGTACAACATATATATATATATATGTATGTTTCACACAAAAGTCATAAGCTGATATAAACCATTTCAGATCATAACATTTTTTTCAACCTCGACTAGTAATTATATTTGTTCAACTTCTAAATAAAAGCAATAAGTTACAAGTGATCACCATATCTTATGAGTTATACTTATGTCTTAAGTTAAGTTATATTTTTCCTACCTCCTTTACACGGTGTTCTGTGTTGGCTATGCTGAGCACGCCAACCTCGTATCATCTCATATTCTCCGTTGTCCCTTTTTAATGGAAATGATATCTCTAAAATAGAATGGCACGGTCCTAATAAGCCAAGGTATCCTCGAACTTTTTTTCTCTTTTCTTCTAAACTCAATTTGCCTTTAAATTCTTCCACAAGTTTATCTTCTACAACCTGCCAACCACGGTGGTAGAAAAAACCAACCATGTGAAAAAATGACGGGTCTTCAGCATCTTCAACGTAGGCTATTTCTTCTGGAATTTCATGTAAACTAAAGTTTCGGCTACTTAGAGCTAGAACTGTGTTTTTGACTACCGGTAGTTGCAGTCTGTTAAAAGATAAGTTGGCCCGCAAGGATAATACGCCATTTTGCACAATATGATGAGGAGAAATTACAATTTTATTACCTAGAGTCGCGATAGCTCGAAGAAACATGTTTATACAATACAATTTTATTAAAATTTACAGCAGCAGTAATTTACTTTATATATTTATAGTACGTTGAAGATGAGCATAGGAACTGAAACATAGACAGTACTTTAAAATATACCTAACCAAATCTAACAGAATGGGTAATACAAAAAATAAAACGTGACTCCTGTTTCAGATATAGTCCTGCTATCGAGTCTCGACAGAAAACATGCTGAAATGAAAGACGAACTGAGGTGTGTGTCTTTCGTCACATATCCTAAGCCAATCAGACCTACGATATCAACAGAAGGTTTTGGCGTTTTGCGCAATCTTTCAAGCTGTAAACATACTTTGGACGCCTGGAATTGACCCTAAAAGACTACAGTCAAGGATGATTTCGAGATTCATTTACATTACTTAATGTTTCACTTTAAGCACATGCACTAAGATTGTTGGTGTTTTTTTTCCATAAAGATTACACATAAAATCTAAAAAAGGGAGAAACGAAGGTAGATTATTTAACGTTTATCTTTTTCAATTAGAAACATGGACACTACACTGTTTCTAAATCTGTTAGTGGGGTTACCATTAATAACGCCGTAAACATGTACCTTTCTCTACATAAGCCCCACCAGTGAGACAGTAGTATGTCTGCCGACGCTATCGATGTGAGTCCGCAGGCATACCGCTTTGCCACGTTTGTTTTTCATTTTCGACTTTGGAACAAGTAAAACTACCGAAGATTGTTTGTAAGAACTAGAAAACACAGTAGTATATATACATATATATTTATTTAACGATATATATATATATATTGTTACGTATCTGCTTGTTTGATAATTTCCGGTAGAAATTCTTTCCGAGGAATTTCAGTGATACAAGTCCTTTCTTGATTAAACAGTTTATTCTTCCTCGATACAAACTTTTGGACACAGTAATTCCACAGTCAGTACGTTTCTCGTCAATTTAAACTTAACGACTTCTATAATACACGCTATAAATCACAGTGATTCACACACTTTACTTACCGTTACCACTGTTCGCTTCTTTAATTATCTCTCTATCCCGCTGGCTTCCTCTGCCAGACTTATATACTGTTACGTGTCCGTTTGTTAATTAACTCTCCGTAAATTCGTTCCGACACAAGTCTTTACTTAATAAAACTGGTTTATTCTTTCCGAATATAACTTTA